TACACTGAACGTCACTTCCTACCAGTCATTTTTTAGTGTGTCTTTGTTTCTGAAAACAATGCAAGGTAAAACGTTCTTTACCAATCAACGACAGAAACCTATTTTTAGGAGAAAAAATATGTACTACTCGTGGATAAACTTTTTCTGTTGTGTCATTTGCTTGCATTATACGTATAAAATCCTTTCAAAGCAAACGTTGGTTCTGCTTTAAGGGGATAGGGTAAACACGTGCCTGTTGAACGCAATTTACCAATCGAATATATATGCATGTTTCGATGAATATCCTAGAGACAAAACCCACCTTTTGCGGAATGTGTTGGTTTCAGCAAGAAGGATATGTAATATTGAGATGATTTATTTTCGTTCTCATGTGTGAAAAAGTGAGACAGCTGAGGGCGTTTGATAAAACTTCAAACCAAAGTTGAACAGCATTTTGTCTGTCACTAACAGAAGAAATAAAAGTCGATGATAAACAAACCTGAAGTCTAACTGAGACGACAAATTTGGCCATACATTCATGAGAACATTTAGACCTAGATTGCACACAATTATCAAATACATTAATACTACTGTCTAATTGTGAGTAGCCATGCACTGAAAACTATTTTCATAACCAAAAATAGATAAGGCGATCAATTACTGTCCTTCAAAAATTCCAGCTCGTTTTTTGATTCCTCTCAAAGAATACCTGTTCACTTACTTGCTTTCCGGAGACAAGCCCAATTTGTCACAAAATGATTCTAGTGTGATGATACCGGTGTTTCCTGGATCGAACAAGGTCATCCAAGTCTGTAAAGTACGGAAAGAAGAGATAAAAAGCTTTGCTCAACTGGATATCGTTCATGATGGTTCTTAACAAAATCTAATCAACATAATCTTTCAGCAGCCAAGAAGCCTTTGATTGTTTTGCTGAACAATAATATTCCACAAAGCTGTAAATAAAAAGTAAAAACATCTGAAATATTCTCAGTTGGCAGATAATTGTATACGGCAGTCTTATATCAAATTTATGAATTCATCTACAGAAACAATCTAACGACATATTTTATCTCTACATCTGATGAAACAATATTCAGAATGCGGTCATAACGAACATTTTCCTTTCAAACAAACATTCTGCGCCCCTCTGTAAAGTTCCAGCTGTTCAGCGCATTTTGCTAGCCATCCAAAACGAAATTCTATCAACAAGCAAGAGTTTGAAGGAACACGTCTGATGAAAATGAGGGTGTTGCACGAGTTTGATCAGTATCAGTACTACGTAGTATAAATTTAGTGGGGCTATGAGTGAAAAGGTAAACGTATTAGGCATCCAGAAATGCATGTAAACCGCAAGTGCCTTGGCAACTCCCTGAGGAACTGGTCAGTTTCTGAAGTCTGAGTGTTACAGAGATAACTTTTGAACCCCAAGATCATATTTTCATCGGAGCAGAAAAACTGAAAACAGTCTGATCAATAAAAAATTTCAACACATCTATACGTTATCAATCTCGATTCTGTTCTGTCTGTTGGCAGCAGGTTGAGGGATAGTGCGAAATGGTTTGTTAGCGAGATGTGGCTTTATGAAGGAATTGGGCTTTGAATCATCTACTGATGTTAGGCAATATGAGGCCAGGAATAGGCCGAAATGAGTGGTCAGCTTATAAGGAAAATAAAATTATTTGGCATAGAACGAAGAAAGCTTAAAATTACTGAACAATAGTTGTAATGGTATTTATTCCCGTGACTATTGATAATTGTTTGTATCAACAAAGATCAGATGTTCCATTTGAGTTCACACCGAGAAGATAACAAAAATTACTCCATCCCTTTATACAAACTGTTCTTCTCCATGCCATGGATTTTAACTGATGATCAAATAAAACCCCATTGTTTTCTTCCACACCATGGATACATATATACATATCATTTTCCTGTTTTTGGACTGTTTCAAGCACTTTGGAGTACAGGAATCAATCGATAGCAATCAGGCTCGTGTTGACTGTGATTGGACAAAGTTCCGGTGGTTTACATGAAGCGCTCCGCGCTCTAGCGAGGCCAGGTGTAGTTCAGTATACTAAGCTGTAGGAAACAATTCACCATCTACTTTTATCCGGCTTTAGGTAGGCTTTGCAACAAAATGCTCACTTGTAAATTAATGCTGATTACACATGAAGCACTCTATTGTTAAGCAAAATGGTGACTAAGAATGAATCCCAGTTGAACAGTTTCTTCACCAGCATGTAGTACCATAGTTATGGGATAAACCTGATGCGAGAAATAGGCGGAAACAAATTTATTTTTCAGGACTATTAAGTAATGAACTAGCTTACTGGTCATCCGAGATGACAGCTTACCAGGCGTGCCGGTTAGGGTTGAGGTCCGTACAAATGATAACCTAATCGCGGTTCCGCTATCGGACCGAAGAGACTGCCAGTGTGTCTGAGCATTTTACATTCGATTTCATCGTGTTTAGCCACGTTTTATGCTAACCCCTAGCGTTTTTCTGAAAGGATTAAGGGAACTGAATAAAACCTAAAATTTCCCGCCACATTCCTCCGTTTACAGTCAATGATGCAATTCTCATATTTTCACGACCAGCTTCTAACCATAGGACGGTAAATCACCTTGTTCCTAAAGTTGTTTGGTTACTTTTACCCTTCTGTTGGATGATCAACCGGGTGTGAACGCCATCCACTAGGAGACGAATGGGAATGGAACGTCAGGTTAACGTCAAACACCGAAAGAATGAATGCACTGAGAGGAGACGGTTGCATTTCGACGTAAATAAGAAACAACCCGATCACAAATGTTATTGCCAACCGACAATTGACTTTATTGACTTTTTTTCACTCGTTGCTTCGAATCCCTTCATATCATATATTATTCGCCCGGGCATACCGGCTAAAAGGTTAATGTTTAATCTACCAAATCCTTCGAAACAGACTATCACCAGTCCATGGTTCGTGTAATAAACAGTAGCTCAAGTTAAAAAATTTGCGAATGGTTAATCGTGAGAAAAGGCTCCCGCCCGCGGTGATTGCAGAAGTGATAAAACCTAATACGGTTTTCCACGGAACCATCGATATGCTTCCATGGAAAAGCTCTATGTGAAACTTGTCCGCAATTTCGATAATGCCCTTGGCATTATTCTGTAGTCCTACTGGTAATATTTGTTCACATGGGGCAGTAGAGGTATATTCCTCTGAGGCTGTGAAATACAAGTTGTGTCGCCTCTATGTGACTCCTCAGGACCACGATTATTCTCATACTTTTGCTCTAGTAAGCTAGTAACTTGTGTTCACACAGAAGCACAACTATCAACATGCTAAGCAGATACACATCACTCCAGATTCTCTGGCAGTCGAGGCTCACCCACTGTCATAATGTTGTATATTTTGGTCATGTTAAATACATCGTAAAGTTAAAGTGACTTCATAAAAAGTTAAAAGCCAATCTGTTTTTAAAACTAGGGTTTTCACATCAGTACGCGTCATTCTTGGAGTTAACCGTGGGCAACAATGTATCCGCATTTGAAACGCATATGAAACTATTATCAGCAGACTAGTTGGCTTCGGAACATGTGAGCCAGACCCGGAATCGTGTCAAAACTTGTTGTTTTGAATCATCCGGCGCCTAGAAAATATGTCAATTTATTACTGTCTTGTCAAAATACGAAATGGAAAGAATGATAAATCGAACCATTACGAACGACAAAAATGTTGCTTCTGTTTCCTTCAGTAACAAATAAAAGTCTATGAGCCTTTCATAAATGATTGTTTCAACACAAGTCCACATTTTATTATGAGCATGCGAAACGTCTTTAGGAAATATTTGGGCAAATTACGTGGAAGCACGTCTTCAGGGTCCATCGATTTTTTGACCACCTGAATGGTGCACTTATGAGACTCGGGCTGATTTTAGACCAAAAAATGCTCAAAATGCTCATCGATGCGAACAATGCCAAGAAATGGGGAAGATAAGCAGCATTTTGAGAGCCCATCTTGTGGAGGTAGCCTTGAAACAAAACTGAACTGAAATGTGTACATTAATCAGTAACAAGCCGTCAATTGTGAAGTCACGTGACACCCAAGAAGATGCGCAAAAAAACTACTGTTGAACTTCAACAACTAAAAGTTGGATTTTTGTCTGTGAGGGTTTTCGTTGACTTGTTCACCGATCCAGGTACCGGAGTTTCAGGGATTTCAAAAATTGATACTCCCTAATCACTATTATTGTTACCACACATGACAATTGTCTCTTTCATCATTGACTGGAATCTGGTTCCTGGGCTTCGAATAAATACATAATTACTGTGGTCCATTGAAAACACAAGAAACGTTTCCAGCTAGTTACATTAAGACAAAATCATACGTGCCTACTTATCTGCGTAAGTTCATTTGAAATCGGTCTTCAAACGGCTGGTTAAGAGCATATCAGTCACGCCACCCAACGCGAAGCTAACTTTCAATCTGTTCTTTTAAGGGTGTTTAGAATCAGCAACTAGTCGGCAGTCTCGACCTAAAGCATTCGCTTTCTTCACCATAGAAATACTGCCAATCTATTTTCAGTAGCTTTAGTCATTTTACCAGAATAAACACAACTTTTAAGCAGTAGTTTCGGTGATCTTGGCTAATTTTATGGCTTCTTCGAATTCAAATAATAAAAACTGATCGGTTTGCTAATTACCGTTCTTAGAAGTTGGTGTATGACGCGAGGAGCTGCAACATTTCGGTTAACACTGAAACTATGAATGAATTTATGAACGTGAAATAAATCTCAGCAAGACTTTCCGCTGATATGAGGCAGAATAAACTGCTTATTCTGTGCAAAGCATCAGATTGAATGTAATCAAATCAGTTGTTAAAGATGTCAGTTTAAAACCTGAACAATTGATTTTATTTGGGCAAAAATATCCGAGCTATAAAATATTGCTGGCATTACTGACACTTAGTTGCTGGTCGATATGTTGGCGCTGAATGGCATCTACCTCGAGTGTTTCTGCTCACACGTGTTAATTCTATACGGACTAGCGATGTACTGTTATAATTTCGCAGCAATCTTCAATATGATGTCTATGATCAAACTCTCGATGCACGTTTGAAAGATAATATTTGTTGGGTTAGAGTTTAATCCACTAAACTCATTAATACTAACGGGATTCATAAAGACTGTAACATTGATCAAGCTTTTGTTAAACCAAATGCGCGGTTATCATTCATTCGTAGCCGAACAAAGAAATGTAAATAAAGAAATTGCTCATGATGGAGTTCAAAAGATATCCAACTGCCGACACAGGATGACTACATCACACTGGGAAACCAAANCAAACGTGAGAAGAGATAAAGTTATTTGCGATACGAAGTTCTAACATCTGCATATAAAAACGTTGCAATAAAAGTGGAATGAGAGATACAGACACTGAGGTAGCTCACACGGTTTTCGCCACTACTGTTGCGAGATACTACTCAGTTGAGAGTAGTACACAAAAAGATGCGACCACCGGTTTCCTTCAACGACCAAAAATGAACAAGACCTTTAGGAGCAAACTGCTCCTGTTCGACATGGTGCATACAAGAAAGCGCATCTGATAATGGAACGTTCAATCAATTATCCTGTGTATACAGGAATTCTGAAAACCTGTTCCAAATGAGATATTTTCTGTTGTATGAATGACAATCTAACCATATCCTGAACGTTAGTGGCAATAGACAACTGTACTCGACCGAGCACCGCCTTGTGGAATTATAACACTACGACTGAAGCAGCTAAATTCCCGAAATTGTTGTTCTATGAAGTGTTTGCTGCAAGTG